AACAGCTTCGATTCCTGGCCAGTCGGCTATGCTGGAGAGTGCCACTGTCCACTGTTTCTCCTTTGTTTGAGCATTAGGTTCGTTGCACCTTGAGGTCTTGAATTCTCTCCTGATTACGGTCTTTATTGTGTGAAAAGACATTGGCCGGTCAATGCCTTGCGATATTGTTGTCGCCTTTTTAGCAAATGTGTCAACGCGCTCACTGCCTATAATGCCACAGTGTGCGATAGGCTAACCTCCACGTGGTGCACCCCGGGCAACGTATACTCATATCGCAAAAATGTCTATCAATTGGCAGTTGACTTCTGACTTCAAACTACCATGACTCGACTGACTGTGTCATATTTGACCACTTTCACAGCACTCATCTTACCTTTTCTCTACCTTTGTGTCTATCTGTCTCTTTTACATTTGTGAATTACTCTTCAGCTCCCACCCCAAGATATCAATAATCTTATCTAAATCGGTTCCTTATTCAAATTTGGCTTTTATGATCAGCATTAGTACTATGAAGTTTGGTTCTTGACATAACTGAAGACGTGCTCGTTAAATATCGCTCGATCACAATTGACTCATTACCAGCAATAGGTTTAGGAATGAAATGTAATTACTTCGATATAGTTAATATAAAGAGGCTAATGTAATTGATGGTAGAACTCTTATATTACTTATTTATTTATTTATATCAAATGGCAGGCGTTTTGATGGTTATCATTAGCCCTTTAGTTGAATCCAGGCTTCACAGAGGTTAAGGCCCACAAAAGTGAAAAAAGTCGAAAGGGCGGGGGAACAGAGGTGTTTCAAAGACAAAGGTAGAAAAAAGATGAGGTTAGTACTGTGGCAGTGGTGGAATATTACATATAGTGGGGTCATGGTAGTTTGAAGTCAGAAGTCAATTACCGGTTAATAGACTTTTGCCGTATGAGTATACGTTGCCCAGGGTGCATCACGTGGAGGTAAGTTTATCTCACATCCCTCTTATATTACTAATATCGAAAGCCAAAACATTGGGGACGAATTTTGTCCTAGTTTACTGTCAAGCTGTCAATATCGTCTTGTACCCACCACTTAATTGGGGTGTTTGGTTAGATATGTCAACACAGGAATTTGCCAGCTCGAGTTCATTTTATCGGTAACATATCAAAGTCATATCTTTTTTTAACAACTCTCCTCTGTTACAGCATTGGCTCAACAGGTCGATAACGGAAGTAAATTGGAATCGGGAGTTCATTCACTTCATTGCCTGTTTATAAAGAAAACTTGGAAATAGGCGTAGAGAATGGAGTTATTGGGAACACACTGATCAATCTCCACTCCGATGCATTCATTCCTACTGCTGATGACGTTCTGTTCCCCAAGTACTACCGGAGCTTCCGAAAGTCCTCCCACCCTAATAAGCGCGTAATAGAATTTCCCGTTTAACCGATCTGGGCGGATTTACGGAAAATCCCTGTAACTATGAGCACGATTTGATAACTACGACGGAAATTAGGAAAAGTGCATATAAGTAGGTAGGATTGGCTATAGCTGTTGTCTTCCATCGCATTCAAAAGAGAGCAATTCAGTGTGACTTACAACTTTGACCACGTTATCATTAAGTGCCGTCAAAATATCAACTACTGAGGATGAGAGGAACAGCACACTTTGGCAATTTTATTCTGTATCAAGAACTCTAATGCAAAGAGAAACGTTGTTGTGATTCCAGCCACGCACCCCTTATCAATAGCCATTTGACCTATCACTATACCCATATTATTGTCTTGACCTTTTGTCACCAAAACATGAACGTTTAAACTAAAAAAATATTCTGCATAAGCAGATCATTATCAGTTCTGCTTAATTATCCGAAATGACGGTAGGCATTAATTGCAATCTATCTTCATGAAACGACCATAGTGATAATTTTCTTGTGAAGAGGTGAACCATATGCTCGCCTGCGAAGCCAGAAGTTCATCAGAGCAGAATGGAGACCGAACTGGTTAAGATCGGTTAATAGAAGGATTTTAGACCCTCATCGGAACCCAATGATGACACCTCCTTACCCAAAATGAGCAATTAGAATCACTTTCCCAGATGGGTCTTAGAATTATAATTAACTATTGGGCCAAAATAGCTATGTTGACGGCACACGTGACAATCAAAGTCACTTTACACGCCAAACATTGAAAATGATCTCCACAATCAGTTAAAAGTGGTACTTTGTGTTTCAGTCGCAAAGTGCAGTTCGCATATCAAGAGGAAAAAAGCACTTTTAAAAACAGATTAATTCAAACATTACTCCAATTTGTCCACCATTGGAAATAGGAGTACTGCAAACCTGAAACTATATATCAAGTCCCATCTATTGCATGAGTGTTACAGACCGGAGAAATTATTCCAAATGTTAAATATTACAATCTGAGGGATAATCAATTCAGCAACCATAAAAGGCTTTTACATTAGAGCGTGACAACAGTTTTGGGACGATAGAAAATTAGGGCCTTTGGACACCACTCAACAAGTCAAATCCATAATTACAGTCACAGTAAGCCACAGGCGTACAAACAAAAAGAATGAATAAAACGAGAACAGTTGAATTAAAAGGCAAAACATGTTATTTACATAAATTAGCTGAAAGGGGAGGGGTGGAAAGAGGATAATGCACTATCTAGTCTCGACGTTCACGTTTACGATAAGTAGTGTCACGATTTGAGTTGGCCATTAATTCTCCAGGGCGTTTCTCAGCCTTTTTAGCCTCCATCAAGAAGTTGCTGACGTTGAAAGGATCCTCTGCACCTCTTTCAAATTGCACTGGCCCTTGAAGATGTCTGTTTCTATCTGCTCCAGCAAAACCACGTTCAGGCACAAATTGTCTCTGACGAGAAGACGCTGCCAAATCACTAGCCCCATAAGTATCGGAATCAGTCTGCCTAGGACGGTAGATGTGATTGCCCAAATTAGATTCCGCTCGCCATGGTTTGTCGTAAATGTTATAAAGATCATCTTCGCCACCAGCAAATCCAGAATCCATACCACGAGACTGATTAAATAATCTTTGATCAAACATGCTCTCTGTATTAGCGTTTGCACGGGGATTGGGAAGACCAAGGGCAATCTGTTCACTGATATCACGATCCTTATCACGCTGAGTTCGAAGTTTGCCTTCCCCGCCAGTAGCCCTACTAATATTTCTTTCATGAGCTCTTTCTCTCGCCCGCTCACGACGAATTTCATCTCTGCTGGCAAGTTCTGCACTTTCTTCATCATCAGCCACTCCTTGGCCGGAGCGCCTAATACCAGCCCTAGCAGCCCGTGCTTCCGTGGCAATTTTCTGAAGCTGTTCTTCTTTCCTCTCACGCACCTTAGAAGCTACTTTCCGTTCAATTTGAGTTCGTAATTCGACCGCCTTTCTAGCCTCCCTATCGGCGATATAGAGCGCTTCAGCCAACTTGGCGAAATTTTCGTTAATGTGGGTAGTTTGAAGTCCACGACCATCAGCCGCAACTCTTTTGTCAAGAGGAATTGTGTAGCCACGAGGATTCTTCCAGTTTGAGATACAAGGAGGAATTTTCCATTCTACTTGTTCCCTAGCAGTCACCTTTCGAGATGGCGAATGCATAAGCGGTGGTGGAGGAGAAGGTGGTCCTCTAGGAATTTTTTGATTTATTTTGAATCGAGGAGGCTCCATGGGATCCCTCTGCGCTTCAACCATTCGAACTAGGCGTTGCTGAGCACCACTATTAAAAGCGGGACCTTGTTGAGCAGGGGTATAACTGATATATTCCGCTGGTGCAGTTCGTTCGGCTCTCCTGACTGGCAACGAAGCAGTTACTTTCTGCTCAACCAAGGCATCAAGTGCCTTTTTAGTTTTCTCGGTTGTCTAAGGCGCAAATAATTAAAACTAGATAAATCAAGGGAGACAATTTATAAAATACATACAAACACACTTACTTCCTCAACAGATTCTTTAGTAGGTTTGCGTAATTCCTCATCGTCGTCTTCAATAGTTTTAGGCAAAAGATCAGTAAATTTCGAATACACAACTCGATCCTTTGAATGTCCCTGGCGAACTATTTCGTCATATCGCACTTTACCATCCTTATCCGTCTTCATAACAAGAGCATTAGAGGAAGTCTTTTGTTGGCCCATTCCAAGGGGATACTGGGGCATATGTATCTCGGGAAAAGCGCCTCCATCACCAAAATCTTCAGGATTTCGGGGAAAAAAGTGTTTTCTGTGGCCATACGGTGGCACATTGAACTTCTGAACAATTGCGTGAGAAGATGTTGGAACAAAATCCGCATCTGCATCAACGATGCGCTGAGATGGGGCTGGTAATTGACTATCGTATAACGGTTTTAAAATTACATAAATTTACCTCAAGAGGGACATAATTCGCCACTTTTCGTAGACACTTCACACATGAGATATTTAAAACAACATTAAGCAGCTTACAATGAATTCAGTGCTTGAACAATACCCTATACTTTATTTGCAGCTTTAGTTTTATCGCTATATTTCGAGTACAGAAATATTTTCATTTTCAGAAATACTGTTTATATACATTGTGAATTTTCAAATATTTCAACAGGTGTATTAATAAATATTCTCCATAATAATTTTCATATTGTGGTTTAATATTTTTTAGCTTGTTGATTAGAAAGTCATTTAAGAAACACATGTGTTTTCTTTAATCTCTAATGCATTGCAGCATTTATAATTAACCAATGAGGGTTGACCTCCATTCTCTCATATTATGGTGATATCGTCCAATAATTTGGAAAAAACACAAGCCTCCTTTTCTTGGCCCATTACCAGTTTGTGGAGTGTAGCTATCTTTCTTCTTGTTCCTTTTATTTACTTGACAGTCGTTTCACTATTTGAGATTTTTAATTCAGGTAATTTTCCATGCTTATCTATTTACATTTAGGCGGAATGTTTCTTAATGCCTTGACGCCCAAATTTTATGTTGCTTTAACTGGAACCAGCTCATTTCTATCAGGAGTTATATTGGTATGCTGAACAGAATTTGATTTTAACTTTTTTGTAGATATTTGAATGGTGGTATTTCAAAAAATACGGCACCTCCTTTATTGAACAGATATCCCTTACCCATATTTATCCTTTATTGGGAGGAAGTGATGAGGATAATGATTGCGATAGCATAGAATCTAATGGTGTCCATAATGGTCCTCAAGGTATGCTCCATTTTTGAGCTAATTACTTGTTCATTTTTCAAGATTGTAAGGTGTCAAGAAATCCCTATAGCCTTTTTCGAGGCGCAGAGTATCAGAGAGCTGTAAAGGAGTTCGGACAAGATCCACTCACTTACTATGACATGAATTTATCTGCTCAGGACCACCAGACTTTTTTCACATGTGAGGCGGATGCTGGAAAACCTGAATACGAAAGTAAGTTTCTTTGTTCTTTTTATTGAATCTATCATTATAGTAATGCAAATGGCTTGGCGCGAACGCAATCCTGAGGAGCGTATCAAAAAGGCCAGAGAAGCTCTTGCTAAAAATCCTGAATGTGTCACAGCAATGATTCTTTTAGCCGAGGAAGAGTGTTCCAGTATCGTCGAGGTGAGCCTTCTCATCAACATTGTCACTTCTAGTTTAGGTGGAAAAGTTGTTCAAACAGGCCTACAAAATCTCAGAGACTTCGCTTCGAAAATCCCAACAATCTCATTCGCATAATCCCATCCAGGATGCTATTTATCTCCGTGATATTCATGCTTTTATTTTTATCAGAAGACGTCTAGCAATGTGTGCAAGAAAATTGGGAAAATTGAGGGAGGCTATTAAAATCATGCGAGAGGTATGTTATCGTGTGTTCTAAATGTGTATTTTTCCGGTGAAAGCTTGAACAAATTATTATAAATTTCAATTTTTCAACCAATTAACAGTTGAATTCGTGTTATCAATTGTCTATTTATTATCTTATTGTACGCTGAAAAATCACATCCGCTTTCTTAATAATTACTTTTCTTTAAAAAATTAACTGTTATCAATTTCACAGGTAAGTTTAATTGATCGGTATTCATCCGCAAATTTGCGTTAGTCGTTTTCATCTTATTTTAATTCCCGATTTTTCAAGCTCAACTTTTAAATGTACGTATATTATCAACGCTTATTTCGGTCCATCTTTTACTTTCTAAATTTATATTTGGTCTTAGAATGCTATTTCTGATGGTCCTGTTTGGCATTTGGGTCAAGAATCGCTTATGCAACAAATTTCAATAATAAACAGGTTTTTTTTTGTTATGGACTTATAATTCCCTATGGTTCAATTTATTTTAATTCGTCTATTCAGTCAGTTTTCTTGTAACTCCAAGTTCTCGTTGCATTGCGAACTACGTGGTCATTTGCGAAGTTACGGGTTTATTGTCCATTCTTTAATATCCAATGAATACAATGACCAACCACAGCGATTTAGTCTTGCAGATAAAGTTGGGCGAAAGTGTGAGTTTTTACATTAGGACAGCTTAATTATACGATCTATTTACCCCGAAAGTGTTCCAAGAAGGCATATAGTTTTCAAGAGAGGTTTTTACAGTTACTAAGTCTGTTTTCTATTTGCAATAAACTATATCCCGTTCTCTTAAACAACTATGCAGCAATCTACCTACGCTTAAAACATTATTATCTATTTGTGAAAATCTCACTTGGAAGATTATTACAGTCCTTAATTATTTTTGTTTCCTTCACTTTCAAGTTGATTCGAGAATATCCTAATCTGAATCTCTTCAATATTCATGAAAATCTCATCGAGTGTTATTTGGCAGCCCAACAGTATGCCGACGCACAAGCATTTCTCACCAAGTATGATGGTAAGTTACTCTCCCTTGATCTTACCAATTATCACCTTTCTTCCGCCTCATCGGGCATATAATTAACCATTCCTATCTATCTCTCGTTCCCGCCTAGACATTTTATATCCCAAGTCCGCCACAATTTGCTACACAGCTGCTCTTCTCAAGGCTCGTCAGGTTGCGGAAAAGTAAGTTCTTTCATATCACTCATTCCTACCCTCTTATTCTATTCATTTGTTAACTGTTCTTTGATTAGATTCTCACCAGATATTGCATCCAAGCGCGGTCTGAACAACGCAGAGTTGAGTGCTGTTGAGGCCATTCATCGTGCTGTGGAGTTTAACCCACATGTTCCTCGAGTATGTTCTAATTTCTCTTAAAGAAACTGATGAACCGTGTCAGCTTTTTCGTTATTCATTCAATTATGTCCACTAAAAGTAGTTTCATTTCTTACCTTAGGATCTTTAGCCTCCTCGCATCATTTTCATGTATCCTAATTGTCGTCGTTTTAGTTTTTGTTTGTTTGGGTTTATATTAACATGCTAGTTAAAGAGAGCAACTTTAATTAGTTTGGGGTGCGTGTGAGAGGGGGCTGTTATGAGTTTGGTGTTGTTCTCTGTGTTAAAAAATGTATTCTCATCCCTTTTGCTAGAATATACATATATTTAAGAATATCATGCAAACATTACTTCAACGCTTCGCTTCGTATTTTATAAATACTTAAACTGAAGGCGACATAAGGGTATTGCTTCATAAGAAAGAAAGAAAGGAGGATGAGGGGTTTGACTTTTTGGCTCATGTTTATGACATCTAATTCTTGGTCAATCTAACCACTTCATATTATTATTTTCCCAAAATACTAGGTATTAGGATAGTAAGCCATGAGATAACCAGATGCATTCCAACACAGCGCTTTATCTCACTCCACTGCATCTGTAAATGTGATCCAAGCAATGAAGCCAACAGATGTGGATGTGTGGTGGATTGTGAAGCTGCTGCTTATTTTTTCTAGCCTAGCATCTTGTCTGTGTACTATCTTAGTTGTACTGAAGCCAAGTTATATTCGTAGATAGTAGAAAATTATGAATTTTAATAGAGATGTTAGTGGACGCCGGTCTATGATTATACCCAAAACAGAATTCTGTTGTTTTCGATAGTATAGAAGCTGTTAGACACTACTACCCCACTGCTGTTTAGTTCCCGTTTCGTATAGAGACGAGCGGTTACCGTAGATGGTCACTAAGTCGCTCTTCTTTCTAATCAATTTGTGGGCGCGCCTCCCCCAGCAGTTTCAAAAAATAACAGTGCATAACTGCCTTGGGAGTAACGGCATTCTTGTCTTACCCCTCTCTTCGGGTTTAATTCAATTGTAGTTTAGTTGTATCTAGTGGACAGAAAATAGAAATCCTTTCATCGCAGACTCTTACTTTGTACATTTTTTAATTTGTCCCTAAACCTTAATTTTCAGTACCTGCTGGAGATGAAGCCACTGATTTTGCCAACGGAGCATATTCTGAAGAGAGGTGATTCGGAGGCATTAGCGTACAGTTTCTTCCATCTGGGTCACTGGAAGGCCGTGGAGGGTGCGTTGAACCTGCTGCACTGCACATGGGAGGGCACCTTCCGTCTCATCCCCTATCCCCTCGAAAAGGGCAATCTTTTCCATCCTTATCCCCACTCTACCGAATCCACCGACAGGGAACTCCTGCCCAGTGAGTTGGCCATTTGTATGAAAGCTTCGTTTTTTGCTTGTTTGTTTAAGCGAATAGTCGTGCGGTAACAAAAGTCCATTTTTCAATAGATTTTATCAGGGCTATAAAGTTTTACATTGGTTTGAAATGATTACGCAACTCAATGCTTACCTTTCGCGCCCTTTAATGTTCTCTTTTAGTTTCTGTCTTTTATTTTGGATGTGCTGCTCTGACAGTTACATTCCCGTAATTAGAGCAGTCTTTCTGTGGGAAGGATTATAAAAGCAAACTTGCTTTTGGTCATCAAAAAATTAAGGAATTTTTTAAAGTTAGAAATTTGTTCTCTTATTCCAAGGCCTTTATTCTTTGCATGTTTGGGAATTGACGCATGCTGCCTGTTGTGGTATATGGGAATTAGTTGGTCTATTTATTTAGGACGATAGCATACAAGCCCAATGAGGTGTGCGAATGAAGCGGGGGTGGGGGGGGGGGGGGGGGGGGGGGGGGGGGGGGGGGGGNGGGGGAGGTGGGGGGTGGGTGAGTTGGTGGGTTCATACCGAAGCGTGTTTTTGAGTCTGAGCATCACGAGGCCTTATTTATTTGCTTTATGGAAAAGTTCAGTTGTTCGCGTTCTCTTTTTAAAAGCATAATTCACTTCAAATATAAGAATTTGTCTCCTAAGTTCGTGAGTTAGGTTATTTTCATAATATTGCGACCAGGTGTGTCATATCGTAGCCAAGGCCAGATATCCAGGACAACCAACGCTACTTTAGCATGGTAATAATTTTTCACGCTCAGTCCTACTTAACTAGCGGTTATTATAATGCTAATTTTTTTTCATTTAGCATTAAATTATTTTTCCTTTTTGGAATGATTTACTCATTGGTTAACTTTATCAATTAAACAAGTATCATGCAAATGCTAGCTAGTGATTTGACGACCACATCCTGTCGCCACACCCAAAACCAAACAAAAGTGGAAAATGAAAAATTTTATACTCTGCTTGGCTGTGTTGTTTCTAGTCAAGTCTTCTGTAAAAAATTAATTCAGACTGTGTTACCAAGCTCCCTTGATCCCCATCAGTACTGAAATAATCACATCAAAATATATTATTATTATTATTCAAATGGCAGGCTTTATGATATTTATCATTAGCCCTTAAACTTTGACTTCAGCTTCCCCCAAGGGTAGGGGTACATTTATAGCAGTTAATTAATAGCAATTCATTAGCTGTCTTCTTGCTCCCCAGTATGTCTGGCTTTCCGTCGTTGCCTTTAGGGCTGGGCACCGGATCAGGTGTGTCTTCTCCATTTCCTCCTGTAGGTTACATAGAGGGCATGTGGGTTGAGTGTATACTCCCAATCTGTGAAGATGTTTTGCCAGGCAATCGTGTCCGGTACGTAGTCTAAACTCAGCAACGACTTCGATTCTTGGCCAGTCGGCTATGTTGGAGAGTACTACTGTACACTGTTTCTCCTTTGTTCGAGCTTTAAGTTCGTTTCACCTTGAGGTCTTGAATTCTCTCCTGATTAAGGCCTTCATTGTGTGGAAAGACATCGGCCGGCTAATCAAAATATATAGTCATTTAAATTACCATTGCTTTTACTTCTTGATTCCACTGTAATAGTCATTCCATTCTATGGAATTTTGCCTATTTTTTCAATATTGCTTTCTTTAACGATTTATTTTTCAAGTTAGCATATATTGTATCGTTCTGACAAGCAGGCATGTTGTTTTATTTTAAATTTGCCTTTTGATCTGAAGGCATATTGAGCCAAATAATTGAGTGAAACAGATAGAATAGGACTTACATCAGGTTCCGAAATTTGGGAATGCAATGAATAGCCGCCTACATAATTGAATGAATATTGAATCAAGGTCTAATTACATTTTGCTGAATTGATTTGACTTTGTTGTTCTAGTTTTATAAGTACCAAGTGCGCTGGAAGTAGGCTCACAACTTTACTGAAGCAAGCTGACTTAAATGACCTTCACGCAAAGTGGATCAATGGGGAAGCCGAGCTGGGAACTCCGTGTGGTAGCTAATAGCTAGATGAGGCTGTATTCATCAGTCGCTATCGCTTCTGATGAAAGGCAATGGTCGATTTCTCTTACCATCATCTTCATGGCTCAGGACCCGTATTCTCATCTTTCATAAATCTTACAGACTAAATGTCCCTGCCTATCTAATTCCCTTACCTATTAAGACTACCAGTAAAAAACGACGCATTTTATAAACAAATGTTTGAGTTCATTTGTGTCTAGACAAGGGAATGCAAATAATCTTTCAAACCTTTTTCCTTTGTACACAAATTGTTCAGCTTTTTATGTGCAAAGGCCACACATTCCACGCTGCTTTTATTTTATCATTGCTTGAACGCCCACAGGACTATTTAATTCATTAGCGAAATTTATGATCAAGTGCTTACAGTCCGAAGATTTAAATCGGTCTATAGGGACTAAAATGGTGTATCGGAATCAGCACAACTCTCAAATTTTGATGTTGAGGCATTAGAATCTCTTGTTGAATCAGATCTTCTATTAGCCATAGAGTTATTACAAAAACTCGCATGTCCATGGTCAACTATACGATTCCACTTCATTCCCAACTTTTATTCATCAATTGGAGTTTTATAATTACCAAACTTGAAACGGTGGTCTTTTTATCAGTTATTTTCCAGTCGAACATGAAATGATTCGACGCATAAGCTAAAATTTGTATCTAGAGTTTGTGAATAATGTAGTTATAATTACGTTTATATTTTCTGTGACATTTACTGCCATTTTTGTTTAGCAAATTCTTTCTATAAGAATGATTCCTTCTCGTTTTTATATGCTCCTCCCTTTCTAAAACTCAAATTTTCTTCAAGTCGTCCGCAAATCGCCTTTCTCTTTTCAAGGAAAATGTGTAAAATGGAACACAAACGTCATTCTTAATTAGATTTATCTTCTTCGGAAATGTCCATTGAATTTCTATAATAAGTGTCTTTTAGACTGACTTTCTGAGTGGATATGTGTATCCAGCTCTATAGATTCATTCTTCTTATCCTCAAATTCCTATGCAGATATGACCTTATTGATTGATAGGTGAAGGGAGGAGAGATTTGCCAGTGGCCACTCATGTTCATGTTTTATTGGCTCTCGCTCCACCCACTATGTGTATGTAAGTTGTTGCTTGTGCTCTTGGCACGCTGCTGATGACGGCTATAGCTATGTTAGGTGGTTGTGGCCCATCTTGTCCGCATACTCTGTCCACAAAAAGCAGGCTAAAAGCCCCATGTGTGTGTGTGCGTGCGTTTTGTGGCTCTGTTAGTTTCGAAAGGAATGTGTCCCTCTGATTCCCCTCTCGTGTCCTCATGCCTTGACCTGATTTAATCGATTTGGGGGGTGGAGAGGGGAAGAAGTCGTTTTCCCGTTGAAATTCCTCCGTTTATCTCCTTTTATTGGCTCGTCGATTTGACATGTTGCATAGAGTAGAATGTGTAAGTGATTGAGGCGAAGCACTTGCAAATCCAGTCATCTTTCTAAGGGAAAAAATAAAGATCAAGAACAGGTAGTCTCTGAAACAGGTCAAGTTGTGATAAGCGTAGCTACCTGTCTGATGAACAATCCCCCTCCTTGAGATCAAATTGATGATTTTACCATAGTGTAATGTTGTCATTGATGTCATTGACAACATTAAAGATTGGTTTGTAGTGAATGCTCTGCCCTTCAGTCATATAGTTGATTATTGTAATAGTTTAATGTTAGCATACAATAAAATTTCCTTGTGTCTTGGACGTTCAGTTTTACTTTGTTTTACCCATCTGAGGTTCAATTAGGATATGCTGTTCACAAACCTTCTCATAGTATTTGCCCAGGAAAGAAGAGAAGCAAAGTGGGCTTTTATTTCTTAAAACTAAGAATTTTGCATACTCTCAGTTGCGGTTTGTCTGTCCCCACAACTTCATCCCATGGGGTTTTTATTAACGTTTGTTATGAGCTCGGCGTTCAAAGCAAGAGGAAAAAGGCACATTTGTTGTCGTCTGTTTATCAAAAAAATGTGCCCCCAAATTGACCTTTCATTAAAGTTAAATGGATCCCAAGTTCTATTGTTCGGTAACTGATCCATTGTCTGTTTTTGTACTCCCTCTCTCTCCATGATTGTTTAGCTATTAAGAACAATAAAGAACTTAGCAGTAGTCAATTTCTGTATATATTCAACTTGATTGCTTCTGTCGATCTTCAGATTGAAGTTCATTTCACTTTTAACCCTTGTCTTGACTTTCTTCTTTACTGATTTAAAATTTTCCTTTCGGTCTTCTCTTCTCAGATGCGTGTGTTTGTTATGACTTTGATAAATAGAGGGAACACGCCCTGGGAATCCCTTCTCCCTACTTCGGAACGTTTCGAGTGACATTTCAAAATATTCGTTCCTAGGGTCCCCTACCCTCCCTCCCCCCCTCCTGCACTATGGAAATACTACTGTGAACGTTCTTCTAGCATTGCTTTCTGTATATTGTACAAAGTACCATTATTGAGCCACATGGTCTATTTGATTACTTTGAGGTAAACTCTGCCTTTTATGCAATTATGTATTATCATTGAGTACTGGGATATGTGTCTATATTTGGAAGGCCTTTCCTGATTTATTTATTGGAAGTTTGAAGTGCAGCAGGAGCTTTCGAATAACTTCCTCCTTCGCTCCTCCTCCTTTTGAACGTGCCGACAAATCTCTCGTTGTTTTCTGGTAATATGTGACCTACGGATGTGATCAACGTTTTTTCCTCAGCATCACTGGAACGGCGATGAACAGCATTCTATTTCATGATCTTATACCAAGGTTTCTGAGAAACAATGAGCCGTGTAAATGTGGTTAAGTTCCCCCATTGTCGCTATAGTATTTGTTGACGATATTGCTGTTACTTCAATTCCCTTTGGATCGTGAGTCCACAAAGACTAATTAAGCATCATTACTATGGCCAGCAAAATCAATATGAACTCTACCTCATGATGTCTCCTCTGGGGAACTAGGCATTTTTTTCACTTGTGGGAGGATTAGCTTCTAGCAGCACTTTAACATTTGAGACAATCTGCGGCAAGCATTTCTATGTCTGCCCGTTCTGACTAACATTTTCACTTAATTTATTCTTGAATGACCTGAGAGGAATTGTTGGAGGCTCCTTTGCTTGAGTATTAGTGCTACGCCAACTCTCATCTAATATTAAACCGATGTCCACGATAGATAATGTCTCACGATGGTTTTGTTTTTACCAATTTTATGGCTTTTCTGGAGACGAGGTCTTCCGCTGTACTATACATACTTTCCTATGCCGTTATAATACTTTTCCGGATAGAGTCGGCGAGATTGCAGTATACATTTGCCCATTGATGACGATTTCTTGCATAGGGGCTTGTTAAATCACGTTTAGCCGTGATAATTCATCAGCCTATTCAAAATCATTTGTCTTCCAATATGGAATTATTGAAGATGAGTAGAATGTAATGAACCGATTCATGAAAATTAAAACATGTCAATCTAGTTTCCTTTCCTAATCGCGCGATTCGTTCTTTGCTATACAACGCTGTTACATCTTGAAATAGATTGTTACTACTAGTATCCTACTCGGATCTTATCATGGTTGTACGAAAACTGAATAATCACTATTTGCACATTTTACGGTTATTCATAATAATGTTTTTGCCTTCACTAAATAAATATCCATTTCCCGTTATCATGTAAATTACTATTAGCCCTTAAATTAGTTAAGTGAACTAATATGAATTACGCTATATTGTATATAGTTCATGTTGAATCATGGTAATTTTGTTCCCCATAATAACGAACATTTGTGTTCCTTTTTTCTGCCGGGGTATCGGCTTGTAGGTTGTGACAACTTCCTCCGAAAGTTTTACATTACTAGAGGCGAAATGCCTTCACTTTCTCATCAGATAGTGGACTCCTCAATTCTTTACTTTACGTAATTACCAAAGTGGGGCTACAATGACTCATGATGTTCCACCACATCTACTACCATAGAAATTCCAAATTCCTCTTAGATCTTTGCACTACCTCCAGTTCCATCTGTCGCTTCTTAAGCGCTTTCTATTGCAGCTTCAGTTTATGCTGCTGCTGATGATGATGATATGATGTAGCACCCAGCCAGTGGAAAAAATTAAAAAATCTCATTCGCTCTTAGCAATCCTTCATGCCTAAGGTCGTTCCAACGCGACTTGCCTCCGAGGCAACAAATCTAAAGCAACAGTCAGTTTTAAAAACCTGTCTGCGTGACCGTCAGATAAATTCATTCTACCACCTAAAAAAGGGGACAGAATGGTTGTTTTACTTTGACCTTCCCTAGAACTTTTAAATCGTTCACCAGTAATAAATAATCAGGATATCCTGGTCAGTGTAACCATATTTGAGCTACAAACCCTAGCTCATTTACCTCTCCAAGCAGTCGACACTTTTGTCTGAATATCGCAGGCAATTTGAGAAAATCTTGCTAAACCTGTTTCCCTTGGCTCAAGCACAACGTGAGTTTTTCGTCCTCTCAGGCTCTTCCTCTCGCAGTTTATTTTACTCCCTGTTGAAATGGCGTCGGTAGCTCGTCGTTTTCACAATTTCATCTGTATCCGAGTCATGATGAATAGACTCCTTTTTATCATAAAAATGTCAGTTCCGCTCATCCACTAGTTTGATTTTGCCATAATGGCTGGATAGGATAAAGTTACTTAAATTTATTCCATTTCAGGTTTCCACAATGTGTCGGTGTATCCCAAGAAGGACGTGCCCTTCTTCATAATCTTCACGGCCGTGCTGTGTTCTCTCACCGCGATACTGGCCTTCCTCACCCATGTTTATCCCGAGCAAGTGGGCTCTTTCTCTAGTCAAGTGAGTCACCATCTCTCTCTACCTATCTGCCTATCCACTCCTCAATCAATGCCGCATCTTTATTGTTCGAGTAGAATTTATTTTCTAACGCATCTGAGTTAAATGACAGCATTCCTTTTTAGTAATGACTGTAGTGCTTGCATTGTCAAAAATATATTGCTTTGTCTCTCCCTTTCAATACTGTTAAAAATAACGCATAGCTCCTTTGGTGAATTTGGAATTGCCATTAGCTTAGAACCCTCTTTTGATGCCTATTCGTTGAGTGAAGTTAATATCCTTCCTTTAAATTAATGAAGCCGAATTTATCCCCCCATTATTCTCCGTATCGTGCCCTGAACGAAGTTTCCTCTACTACTGTATGACTGAGCAATCAGTCGCCTTCCTCCTAGCTATATTGAAAAATTCGTATTTTTTTTACTAAAGTGACTTTGAACTGTCTTTATTATGGCTGGCTTTGAGTTACCAAAACTATTGTGACAGTTTACACGCTCTTATATCAGGGGCGATAGCGCTTCACATCCGTCTGACTATTATTTTAAGACATCAGTTGTATGCAATTCCTCATTTATTTGGCTCAGTCAAAATAGGTTCAAGATTCAAAAGTGGAGATTTTTTAAGACATGATGGTTTCCTCCATGCTTATAAATTCTCCCAATAAATTTACCTACTTGAAGTTACCATACTGTTAACGAATACATTTTCGAAAGCCTATGCAGGTGAGAAGTAGCTTCTATTTGTGAATCTCACACAGGCATATGCGTGATAAGTCACAAGAGGTGAATTTGAAAGTAAGCTTTATCTTGTTTTGCTACCTTTGTACAATACATCTGAATCGTATTGTGCAGATTTTTCTATTGATCCTCAAAAAGATGTTTCGCTTCATTCCCGAATTTTTATAAACTCCTGTCTTATGATCTACCCTATAACTTGAGTTTTTACTATTTTCTAACATCTCAATTAGTGGCTATTATAAAAAGCTTATAATTAATTTTATGGAGCTCGGATGATATTTTAGATTGATTTTACTAGCCTTGAAATTCTAAGAACCTCGACAAAACATTATTTTCACTTCATATGCATATCACTTTCTGTCAGTTGGATAGTTGGTCTCCTGTCTTTATAAAAAAGGTGGATGCGAGAGTTATTACTCTGATTAACATATCTCTTATTTTCTTCTGTTATAGGCATTGCATTGGTTTCTCAGTCCGGTTTCATATCTCTCCGAAAGACTGGTTGGAGCACTAAGTGCTTTCGCACCGCTCGTTGTTCGGCGGGCCTAGTGGTCGACCTGGTCTTCCTAAAACTCCCTCATGCTTCTCGAAAACATACAAAATATGCGTCTGAACTGGGCAAGATATGCGACGCTGTGGAGGTCCATTTATCTCGTCCCTCTTTGTTCAACCAGCTCATCTTTTGTCGTTTTGAGATCTTGTGGGAGTAGTTCTATCTTACCACTGCTAATAATGATTATGACATTACTACTATTATTAAATGTTGAATAAATTGCGATGCATGTCTGTGTCTTTCGGCTTGTTCGCCACCCTTTGTTATGATCATACGTCTAATAGGTTCGAAGATGCCCACATTTAATCTATTAATTTTCTTTAGATTAAAGTGTATTCTTATCAAGGGGTTTTTCATTGGCTACATGCGTGGAATCAAGTAAAAACATTTAAGGCGAAGCTAGTGAGTGCATTGATCTAAGGCACTTGTTAAGTTGGAATGAAAAATGAGATGTTAGAGTATAAGTCTCTTATCTGGAGAACTCTAACTGATACTAGTAAGCCAAAGATAATGACACGGAGGTTATTGTGACGAAACAGCCATAGGGTATGGCTGTTTTCAATCATTATACTTATTGCATGATCAATCTAATTGGGTTCGAGTAATGCACTATTTGATTATGGTCAGGGGATATCATGAGGTACAGATATAACAAAGCTAAATTTACAAATGTCTAATACATGATGATCCTTAAATATTTATTTTAAATGGCAGGTGTTTTAGTTGTCGTCATTAGTCCTTAAGCTGACTTCGAGCTTCACAGAGGGGAGGAACTGACAAAGTCACAAAAAGTGGGAAGGAGGAACACAAGAGTGATCCACAGATGTAATTTAGACACAGACACAAAGTCAGAGAAAAGTAAGATGAGAACTGTGGAAGTTGTCGAAAATGGCATACAGAGATAAGTCAATTGCCGGTTTATAGACCTTTTTGCCGTATGAGTATACGTTTTTTAGGGCGCATCACGTGAAGGTTAGTCTATCGCACACCCCTAATCTATAAATATCTAATGAAAAATACGTAAAGTGAAATCGGATATGTATAAATGGAATCACACTGTGACCCAATGTTAAGCATAATAAAGACTCAGCAAAATACAAATGAGTACGTTAAAATACAACTAAAATAAACCAATATAAATCGCAAAATTATTAATATATACGTCGTTCTATGAATTTTGATTGGATAAATGGATTTCCGACTTGGTCTTCAATAACAATAATAATAAATAATGTTAGAGAGTTTGTGGCTTATTACCTGCGTGAAAAATAAGCAATGCACTATTAAACTATTTAGGTGATATTATAGACAAAACCAATAATCTTTTAATTTGTTGCGAATTTGCTTTTCTTGTAATATTTGTTCGATTTTGTTGAACTAGTTTATCATATTTATCATATGGCCACGTCAAGGACAACGTAGTGTCCATCCAATCTATGCACCGAGGGGCACGTTCTTTTGTCACCCGAATATGAGCCTTGGTTTCTCGAGATTATGTCCATCATTTAACAATGTTGTTAACGACCCACTATTATTGTCTTTCTTCCTTCAATATCTAAGTTCAACAAAGTTGGAAAATATTTTCCGACTCTGGTTAGAACTATCCAGTTGCAAAAGTCGTAAAAGTAATAATCAGGAAGAATTCGATTTTAAATCAGAGGAAAAAGTCCTTTCTGATGAGGAGCTAGACAAACTTCGAAAAATGATATCAGAATTAGCCGTCAATAATGTGACGACTATTTACTTTCGCTACCTTTCTCCTGAAGCCAAATTGGCAGTTGATCTAAATGCAGAACTATTATCTCATACCTTATGTATGCCGAGTTCAACTAATTTATTCTTTAGTGAGGATTATAGAGAATCCTAATAATATTTTGGCTTTGGAACCGTGTTTTCGATTTGCCGAATCTAAACTTCGATTGAGGTAGGCCGGTATACTTTTCTCCAATTTCGATTTTAGTTTATTCCCCGGTTTTCTTAAAAGTGAGCTATTTTCTCAATTTTGTTCTGAAATCATAATCAACGATCAACTCACTTTAAATGACGTATTATTTGAAGAATCTCTTTTGGTTTTCTTCGTTGAGGTAGGCCGTTTTTTCTCAAATTTCCTCACTGTAGTTTCTTGCTGGTGATCCAACTTCGACTTTATTGACTTTCCTTCTGGCTGTTAATGCATATAGAAAAGAGTTTCATGAACTTATGCTAAAGCAGGACCATCATGAAACAATCGAGGAACGATATGGTCAACTTCTTCATGATGCTACAACAATTTGTGCTAAGTTTGTTTTGTTTTTTCACTTATTATCTTCGTAGATACCTCTCTCCTGCTTCAGATGACTTTATGGGTCTCACTCTCGAGCAATATCGTGACGTCCTAGACTCAGCCTGTTCTGAGAAAGAACCCCAAATTAACTGCTTTGATGATCTTTATAAATTGATTTTTAAAACTGTTGAGAAAGTACGCGTATTCATATTACTTATGTGTGATCTAGAATATTCTTCCGTCGTTCTTTCACTCTGCCCCATTTGAGCGATATCGAGGCAATTTCATGAAGAAATCGGGTTAGTCAACTACTCATCATTTGACCCAACACGTACCACCGGTCATTTTCCTTACTTTTGATGTTGTTCTGCACTTTCCTTGCACACTCTTATTTCATTCTATCTTGGTTGTGACTTTGTTTCCTTTTACTATCATATTTTTTTAAGATTAGTAATAAAATAAAATATTTTCTATCAAATAAGTACATTTACCTATCAGAATGACCAATTTAAGTTGCTGTTTCCATGTTAAATAGTACATTGAGAGGGAAAATGTCCTGCAACCACCTATCATTATTTTCGGAAAATGCAGTCGTCAATGCCTATCACGGTTAATTGAACGTCGACTTTGGCTTCGCTACCACAAAAATTATTTACGCATTTCAAGCTGATTTTCGACTAGTATCCTGTTGATAATTAAGTTGTGACAGCCATGTCGGCCAACTGTGCTCTGAATTGATTTGAGGTATCGTGAGACGCAAAATGTGTTAAGGGGAAGGAGAGATGAATGTTACCCACTGTTTAGAGATGTACGCATAGACTATCAGCATTTTAACCCAGAGTTCCAAATGGCTTAGGGTGTCAATGATACCTCGTTCATTAAACCACCTTTATGTGTTAAATGCTTACTGTTCAATCTTTTGATAAGATGAGCAGTGTTGTCAGTTAATTCCTCGGATGGATGTCCAAATGCACGGCCACCAATAAGAGAAACTTGCACGTTTGTTTCTTCCACTGAAGTTAATCTTTGGCATGGAGGTTATTTGGGTGCTTCCACTTTACAAGCCATGCTCCTTATTAATCTGCACAATATTTTTCATTAAAGGAAGCACTATTTGCATGCAGTTCTATCATTTACCCACACCCTTTTCAAGAGTTGATGAGTGGGGAAGCGAAGTCATTTTGTAGTATAACTCCGCCCACTGCCAATGGCCAAAGGATGCAGTAACCTAGGTTAATGTTATATTCAATAGGAGATAAAATGCGCCAAACTAGCACATTAGGATAGAAAGCTGTTTCGTGTTGTAAACTTTCTATTCGGCATTATATCATCCTACTAGTATTGGTCATTTTAAAAAAAACCAAATAGGTATTGCCTGTAGATCACCAAGCCGACGTTTCAGCGTAATGCATTCAGAAGTGGAAGGATAGCGGATGTTCTTCTACGCTCAATACGAAGTTGAGACTCTTAAATTATTTCCCAGTTTAAAATTTATTTCAAATGGCAGGCGTTTTGATAGCTATCATTAGCCATTTAGCTGACTTCAGGCTTCACAGAGGGAGGGTTCATCAAAGAAGAAGAAAGTCGAGGGGTGGGGTACAGAAGAGCAATTCACAGATGTAAAAGAGGCAGACAGACACAAAGCTAGAGAAAAAGGTAAGATGTGTACTGTGGAAGGGGTCGAATATGACAAATAGTCGGGCCATAGTAGTTTGAAGTCAGAAGTCAACTGCCGGTTAATAGACTTTTTTGCCGTATGAGTATACATTGCCCAGGGTGCACCACGTGGAGGTAAGTCTA